AACGGCACCGTGTTGTTTGCAGACCGGTGGCGTCGCTGCGTTTCCATAGGAGGTAAGCCTTTCTCATTCTTCACTTTTTCCTCATGTAAGTTTGCTCTTTGAAAATTTTACAAAAAAAATGCACCATCTGTGGGCAACGCTGCACAAAGTCGTAGCGCGATAGGTTAAGAAACCAAATTTTTCGGTCAATTTAAAGAGCCTGGCGTCTCCTTGTTTCACCCTGTAACATGGTGCTGGCAAAACAAATTTAGTAAATATATAGTGACATTTAATGGGTTCCAATGCCATAGTTACCTCAGAATTTATTTTTACCATGTCCTGAACCCCTTTAACATACTGCAGTGATTGCAAAAAATGTGGAAAGCAACAGAGAGGCATTTAAAATAGTGAGAATGATGCATACCAATGTAGAAAGCCATGGTGGAGTTCGACGATGCAATCAGGGTCTCTGTGACCTGCCTCGTCACACCCAGCAAGGCACAGTGCATGTAATCCACTGTGTATCCCCAGACAGGATCGAAATTGGGGACAGTGGCCAGTGATGAAGGTCCCTTCACCCCTTGCACGGCAACCCTGAACTGCCCTGCCAGTTCTGTGTCTCTCAGCACCATGGCAGCTGTTCGTTCAGGAGCTGGTTCCTGATCGTCTTCGTCATACGCATACCGAATACATCCTGCAAGGAAATACCATTTATGAACAATTTAATAGTAACCTCTGAAACCTTGCATAAGTATGAAATACTATTGCAAGTATGCAAATGTTACTTTACAAAGCACAACACTCATCCCGAAGACAGCCAACTCCTTTAGAAGTGACATACTGACCTCCTTCGTGTTTTCCCTTGATGAGGCACCAGGGGCAACCAAAGTAGCCAGCATAAGTCACGTGGTTCTGGACTGCAGCACGAGCAGGAGCGTCAGCTGTGCAGCCGATGATCTGCACCCTTGAGGAGTAGTCTTCGCCCTCGTAGCTCCACTCAATGGGTGGCACAGACACTACACTTTCAGCAAACGTCGACATGAACACCGACATGTTCGGATGGTTCCTTCCGAACCACAGACCTGCTAATGTGGTGCTCGTAAATCTTCTTTGCGGTGGTAGCTCACTGATGCTGAATTGGATTGGCCAAATCGACGAACGCGACGACTTGAACAATGGGCTCCCGTCCGTATTGACGATCAGTGTCAGGTCTCCCTTTTTGATCACGCCATCCTGTCTTAGGCACCTGTAGTTCGATGCAGTCGTCACATCCGTTACTTCTGGCGAAGACAAGGACTCTTCGATCTTCTCCATGTTTTCACTCAGCTCTTTCTTCTCCTTCGAAATGACGTGCTTGAGCTGCTCGCTAACGTCTAAAATCGTAAAGTACGATCCAGCCTTCAGGACCATCTCCTGATTATAAGAAAGGTTGCACGCAGCACAGGCCAACCCTGGAGCAGTAGCACTGCTTTCGAGCAGTCTGGTGCAGTTTTCGCAGTACAGGTACTTTCTGGCTACAGCAGACGTCCTCGAGCACCACAGCTTCCGGAACATGTACTTGCTCCGTGGCAGAACATGAGTCGTCGCTCCATACAGCATGTCGACGAACTCTAGGATATGCTCAAGCAGAGTCCAGGTCACTCTGTGGGCACTTGCTATGGACAACAACATAGCGACGGCGGCCGCTTTGGTTGTTGTAGAGTGCGGCAGAGTGGCGCTGCCAAACTCCGCGAGGCAGCGTTGAAGAAGACCATCGTCATCCAGCAGAAATGAAGCGGAACGGGTGCCTTCTTCCGCGTTACCACTCTCCCCCTCAGTGCTCCCCTCGGTATCACTCACATCATTTACATCCGAAGGCGATTCGTGAGAGTCGCCGCTGAAGTCGGCGGCCCAGCTCGGTTCTTCAGGCTCTTCGTCAGATGGCGAACTATACGATGAGCTCCTACTGGAGCTACCCGACGAAACAGGAGGCTCGTCACTCTGTCCGGGACTCGCAGGTAGCGGTGGTGGTTCACTGGAGCTACCCGAGGAAATGAGGGGCTCGTCACTGTGTTCGGGACTCCCAGGTAGCGGTGGTGATTCGCTAGCTGCCTGTCGATTCGACGGCGAGTTTTGCAACTCAGAGTCCCGCTTGTTTTTCTCATGCAGACATTGCGTCGATCGAGGAAGTACAAAGTCTTCATCAGAATATAGGTACCGTTTTCTTCGTTTCGGAGTCCTAGGGCTCGCCATGTTCGCCGCCGGCGACCACGGGGGATAGAACCAAAACGATAAGACCAGTGCGCAACACGTGAATCCCTTCAGCCTTGGCTTCGCTCGGCTACAGATAGAATCGTAAATTAGGATTGTTATTTTCGCACATGAATGAGCTCTACCTAGATTCCTGTTCTAAATATTATTAAAACTAGTAGTCACATCTTGAGCCATGCAAATAATTGTTTCTTTTTCTTTTCTCCTTATTTCATATTCAAACCGAAACTAACAAAGTATTTACATTTTTTTTTTCGGGGTATAGAATTCTACAATTATTATTTGCTTTATTTTTTTTTTAATGAACCTAAGTACATTTAAAGATAAATTTAAAAAAAACACTAATGTTGACCAGCCAACGTTGGTTTAGTGTCGGTTTCTACACTTGTTATTTTATTATTTTTTTTAAGAGAATAATTTTTACTTGCGGGGTTATTCAACTGTGTTCAGCCAACTGATTATAGTGATTATAAAATTGTGTCCACATTATTAATGTACTAATCGCAGCTTTTGGGTACATATAAAACCGGCTTAAAACCGACTCATTGCCCGAAGCCGTAGGCCCAGAGGCCTACCGCTTTGAGGCAGTTAGAAACCTCGGGATGTAATATTTCGACAACACACACGTAGTTTCTAAGTGGAACACAATTGGCGGCCGTAGTTGACGCCTGTTACGCTAGTTCTGCTCAACACTCTCTGAAGTCCGGACTCCGCACTCACGTGCACAATCCTAACGGCGACTTTGTCTAAGTACCGTGAAGAATTTCTCCAATGACCAAAAACAAGAAGAAAACATACGTATCGGGACACCATGGCCGGCTTGCTCAAAGCAGCGCCTCAGCTCAGACTGCAAGAAAGAAAGCACTTCCAAGGCAATCGCGCAAGCTGAGACGCGCTTCAAATTCAGACTCAAACGTTAGCCTTGGCAATGCTTTCTTTCACCAGTCTCAGCTGAGACGCTGCTGACGCTGCTTCGAGCAAGCCGGCCCAGGGAGTTACGACATTTCGTTGGCCCTCTGAATGCACAGCATAAAACGAATCAGCGAAACGAATAGATTCCAGCGGGGTTCAGCACACAAGTGTATATGATGGTGGAAGCTTTTAAGAAAAAGTTATGGAAAGTTTAGTTCACCTGAGTAAAACAAGTAAAATGAAACATCCTTATGTGCTTTGCATGTAAGCCTAAATATTATTTTTTGTCTCTGTGGCGCTCGTTTCGGCCAAATTAGGTCAGTATTATGGTAGCCAGTTTATTTCCTTTCCATTCCACCCGTATTTCAGTCGTAATAAATGACAGAGTAGCCGAGAATATTCTTGATGATGTCGAGGAAAAAAAAAAGGCTTAGGAGAAATTTGTCCATAATCAAAAACGTTTGCATTTTTTTTTTTTTTTTACTTTGGGTGTTTTATGTTTTATACTTTCAAATGATTAATCCACCAACTTGGGGCACCCCTGTAGTAAATGTCAGCGCGATACGTTGACGCTCCAAAGACAGTTAAACATCGTGAACACTTAAAATACCTGGTCGGCGGTTTTTTTGTTTTTTTTGTTTTGCTTGCGTTAAAGATCCGGCGACTGACAAGGGCGGCGAGTGTTCGCGTTGGACTCAATCAACATGCACGCGATAGCCAATCGAGCACTGGCTCCACATTTTGGCTGATGTTAGGGATAGTTCGAGAGTTAGGCCTAATACTGAAATGCTCGACTCCTTGTTCTCCCGATTTTGAGGCGTTGCACGATATTCTGTTGGACGCCAATAGTAATGTCTAATAGAGCGGTAATTAGTTAGGAATAATGCTGTAATACTTAGCTTCTAGTTCTCCCATTTTGGGTGTTACACAGGAGATCAATGGTTACAGCATTCAATGTTAGACGCTAACATGCAGTTATCGTATATCTGGTTGAGTGTCTTTCAACTGGTGATCTTTTTTTTTTGTGAATTTATTAATTATTAATTTTCTAAAATTTAGGGAGTGTTCGAGGGGGGGGGGAGGAGGGTCACTGCTCTAATGTTCCTGTTAACTGCTCGCCCCTGCACGTGCATATACTGTGGTGCACTGTACGTTACAAATGCATCAGGCTTTGGATGCCAATGTTGGCATGTATACGACGCACGAATGTCGCGGTGGGGCTTGGTAACCCACAAGGCCTCCTGCGTGTACGCGTTTTCCTGCTGTGAAGCGTGTTTCACATGCAGCGTTTTTGGCCCTAGAGCGGCGCGATTTGTGCCGTCGCGGCGTTCTGGCCAGCACCAGCGGTTGAGCGGCACGAGCGCCGCGACGGCAGAAATCGCACCGCTCTAGGGCCAAAATCGCTGCATGTGAAACTTTCTTTATGTGTTCACGTGCAACATACGTTGCACTTCTAATCGATGTAAACTTTATCTGCAAGTGACCATCATTACCTCATTATTAAAAAAAAAAAAAGAGGTGTTTGCGCACTTTTGCAAAGAAAATGAGTGAGTGTGATGTAGTTAGCGAGATTATTGTTACAGATAGCTCAATGCTTTATTATTAGGCTCTGCAAGATCGAGTTCTTCGACCCCCCCCCCCCCCCCCCCCCCCAACGTGCACAGTTTTCCTACCTATATTTTGAGAAAGGCATTGTAAAGTTTTGTACGCTCCAAAACGAAACTAGTGAATAGCCAGAATAGCCGACGAATCCAAATCCAAGTACAAGCCGGGCTGGTCACTCGTGGGATTGTTTATGATTGTTCCGTAGCTTCGTGAGTCCACGTGGGAGCACCTGCAAGTTGTGTGAACGAGGAAGAATGTACGCTTATATTAGATACGCGGACAAGCAGACGTCTATACTTCCCATCTCATTAATTCAGAGGTTCGAGCCAAAGCATTTAGAGGATTTCGACCCCAAGAAGTCGAAACTTGCCTTCTGGCAGGGCCCTGATGGCGGCGATGGAGGATACTATGACGCTAAGGTTATAATGTTGGGAGGTGAGTAAACCATTCTACCATTTGCTAGAACCAGAAATATATATTCAACTTTGGGTTAGGTTTTGTCTCTATTATTTAAAAGAGAACGAGCATTTGGACCAAGAGAAAGGACTAGATGTCATTTCTTTGTTTCACGGCTATCGGGCTTAAATTGAGCGTTCGGAATGGCTCTTTGTGAGGAGAATATGCGATGTTTCTTGATGGAGTGTTAAAAAGAACTGAGTTCAAGCTGGACAAGCGTCCTTCCTCCTCGCTGTGCGAGGACTTTGTCTCGTCGATGGGTGCATGTGCGAAGCGTCGCGATCACAATACAGTTGGCGGTGCAAGGTTTTTCAGGTTCTACAGGTCAGTGCATGTAGGACAGTCGTTGCTGTCGCAGGGTTATGAGCACTCACGGTGAAACGTCCCAGCGGATGAGACCTTTCACTTAATTTTCATAGACAAAGTAGGCATCGCAGAAAGGTGTGAATGTGGTACTAACGCTGGCTTCCGCGCCAATCGCAACAACAAACCGATGCTGAAGTTTGAGAACATTGCCTTTTCTGGATCAAAAGATAAAAAAGGAGCACAAAGTTTCTTTATGAGAGCGCGTCCAGTTAGCCCTATTATAATTTTTTTTTATGGTGCCTCTAAGCAAAGATATAAAAGGAAAAAAAAAATAACTAGAAAAAAGCAATTTTTGGGGGAAATTTAAACAGCGCAAAAGACGAGGGACCAGACAAAGAAGTGACACGGATGCAGCGTTGACTTACAACTGAGTTTATCGATCGCAGTATACCGTAAAATACTGAGTAAGCGCTCACTCAAAATTCGAAGAAAATCGCAAAAAATAGGGGATAGGCACCTGTGAGGTCATCAATTTTACATATATATATGTACTGTACATATCTTTTCAGGTGTTTCAAATTTTGGAGGTGGGCGCTTAGTGTGGAATGGGCGGATGCACAATATTCTACGGTTTACATGCATTGTCACGAACAAAGGGAAGAAAAAAGTTGAAGGAGGTAATCAGCTCACATCACCAATAAAAAAAAAAAAAGAGAAGGCTCCTCTACAGAGCCATACAGAGCGTGTGGTAAAAAAACAAGCGAGTCAAGGAACTAGAAAATTAATTTCTTTGCCAGACAGGGCCATTGAAGGACTGCTGACAGATGTAGTGCCCAACCTCGCTATCTCAACAGCCTCAAGAATTTTGCGTGTCAACTAGTACCTGTTACGCTTAAAGGGATACTACAACAAAATTTCGGCGCTCATTTTTTGGTCTATATGTGTTCAGAAAAGCAGCATCAGATCGAATATATTAATATCTTGTTAAAAAAGTCACGAAAAGGAATTTTAAAACTAATTAAATGATTAGCAAAGAGCACCTGGTGGACGTCGCTAACGCCTCGCTTGTAATGCCCGTCTAGGAACCTTGACAGCTAGTGACGGAGGTTGTCTCGTCTCCGGCCACGACGAGAGAAGAGGGGCAGGAGGAACTCCCCTCTTCCCGAGAATGCCTTTTGTGTGTCGCAGAAGTCGCTATTGTCCCCCTACAAGACTATAGAAGATTAATCCGTCACTCAAAATTCGTACAAAAGCAGCCACTTCGGTGGCTGGAACGACTAGGCCATCCTCTCGACGTCAGCCTCGCTGTAGCTTTGCTCGTCTTGAGACGACCTACGTCACGATTGCGTCGGATGTCACGTGGTCTCCGCTGGGCCTTCTCCGAGCGCTTGCCAGAGTGGGCCGTTTATAACGAAAAATACAGCCACCAGGCTCAAAATACGAACGTGCGATTGTCATTTACGGATATTGTGGATCATATTCAACCTATTTTTGAACACGACGGGAATATTTCAAATCTCGTTCAAGTATCCCTTTAACAACCTCACACCGTTGGAAGTCGGGCAGGCAGCCACAGTTGCGGCAATGAATGCCAAGATGACCAGACACGGTAGTGGAGACACTGTAGGCGTGATCTCTTAACCTGTCATTCAGACAGCGACCCGTCTGACCAACATAACGCTTGCCACACGCCAGAGGGAGAGAATAAACCACTCCCTCTTAACACGCGACAAATAAATCTCAATGTCTCGTTTTGCCAGCCGTGGCCTTCCTAGAAAAGGGGTTAACTGCTCTGCACAACCTTGACAACTTGCCAGGAGGAGAGAACAACACGTCCACGTCACATCTGCCTGCGTTCCGTTTTAGGTTGTGGGCCAAGCCGTGCATATAGGGAATGACAACAAAATTTCTTCTTTCTCTTCTCTTTTCATTATTGGCCTCTTTTGCGCTCGTCACAGACCTGCTCTTAATATCTTTGAGCAGGATCTCAGTGACTGCTGTTATCACGTGGGAGGGAAATCCGGCATGTGTGAGGTGTATAGCAAGTCCTAGCGGGCGCGAGGACTTGCTATACACATGCTCTGCGGAAGTCTTGTTATCACAACATTCAACTTGGCTCTTATACACCAACTCATGTTTACAAACAAACCGGAGCGCCCCTAGCGGACGCCACCGGCGCCGCGCATGCGCGGTGGATGGTGGGCAAAAAGCCCGCCGTCGCCCATAAACAAACCATTGAATTGCGTTGTTGTTGGTGTCGGTGGGAGTCCCCGTGCTCTTTTTCGCGTTGGAATTGTTGATGCTACGTCCTCCTAACAATGTCTGACTATTTGGGCGGCTTCAGTAAAACTAACGAGGCAAAACTTTGCGTGAATAATGTGACGTGCGCCGATTCATTTCACGTGGACGCCGCAGAATGGGCGCTAAAGCCTGACTCCCACGATCAGATTCTGCTCGCTGTTTTCAGACGCGACGTTGCTCGGACTGCAAAAGCGTGGACCGTAGCTGAGATGGTGGACGTCGATACTGAAAACCGCAAGTAGAATCGGGCATTACAAGTCGGTGATGGCCACTGGTAACAATGATGATAAACATCTTCTTGTATCTGTTTACACTTAGCCTACTTACCACAACCAACCTTCAAAAGTGTTTTGAGGCCTGCACTTAGTTCTTATCGCAATTACCGGGTCAACGTTTGGTTTCCGGGCCGCTGTCGTTTGAACGAGCTGACGACAAAAAGCAGCCAAGTTTGAAAGAGCAGACGACAGTTCGAACGCATGCGTAATGAGGTACGGGCAAGAATGCACGCGTCCCGCGTCAACAAACCACTCGAATGTCACGTTGTCGGCGTCTGTGTGAGTCTGCCTACTCTTTTTCGCGTTGGAATTGTCGATTCTACGTCCTCATCGCAATGTTTTACCACTTTAATCGCTTAAGCGAAATTATCAAGGCTCGTTACGCCGCTAAATTTTCCGTAAATAATTTGACGTGCGGCGATTCATTCGCATGAACGCCGCAGAATGGACGCCAAAACCATGATGAGATTCTTCCAGCTATTTTCGGTAGCGACGTCGCTCGTGTTGCAAAAGTGTAGAAGGTAGCGGCGATGATCGACGTCGATACTGAAAATCGGAAGCGGAAACAGACCAAGCGTAACAAGTCGGTGATGACCTCCGGTACCAATGATCAACATCTTGTATCTACTTTTTACACCGAGCCTACTTAAGTCTTTTGAGGTCTGCAATTACTTCTTATTGCAATCACCGGGTCAAAGTTTGGTCTACGGGCCGCTTTTGTTTGAACGAGCAGACGACAAAAAGGAGACGTTTGAAAGAGCAGACGAAAGTTCGAACGATCAGGCGGCCGTGTGAATTTGAAGACGCACTGAACCCGTGGGTGGTTCGGACAACTTGGCGGTTTTCTCTCGTTTATGTTGGAACAAAGCAAATACATCTGGCGACCACAAAGTGTTGCCCGCGCACGCAATCGTAGTTCGACAGCGTCTGGTTTGCCCTTTTCACGGCTACTATCCACGTTCTCGGACGAACGGAGGGGGCAAAAACACATGAAAACTGATCTTCAAACCGGTCCAGACTCTCTTGGTACAACCCCGTCGCAGCATTTTGACGAGAAAGCAGGTTTTTTGTCTCGTTTCTTCCAAGGGAACACAGGAATGCATGTCTGGCACGGCGACTTCTGCCCACCGCCACAGACCGGAAGTGCGTCCGGCGCGCCACCACCGCGGCGTGACGTAGGAGAGTTGAGTTGGTGTATAGGCAAACTGAATGCCTCCCAGATGCTAGACTCCCCTCCCACGTGTTAACAGCGGTCGCCGGGTTCCTGTTCAAAGATATTAAGAGCAGGCCTGTGACGAGCGCAAAGGGGCCAATAACGAAAAGGGAAGAGAAAGAAGAAATTTTGTTGTCCTTCCTTATATGCACGGCTTGGCCCACAACCTAAAACGATTACGGGCAGGTGTGACATGGACGTGTTGTTCTCTGCTCCTGATAAATTGTCAAGGTTGTGCAGAGCTGTTAACCCCTCTTCTATGGAGGCTACGGCTGGCAAAACGAGACATTGAGATAGCTTTGTCGCGTGTTAAGAGGGAGTGGTTTATTCTTTCCCTCTGGCGTGTGGCAAGCGTTGTGTTGGTCAGACGGGTCGCTGTCTGAATGACAGATTAAGAAATCACGCCTACAGTGTCTCCACTACCGTGTCTGGTCATCTTGGCATTCATTGCCGCAACTGTGGCTGCCTACCCGACTTCCAACGGTGTGAGGCTGTTGAGATAGCGAAGTTGAGCGTTACATCTGTCAGGCAATTCTTCGGTGGCCCTGTCTGGCAAAGAAATTAATTTTCTAGTTCCTTGTCTCGTTTTTACCACATGCTCTGTTGGCTCTGTAGTGGTGCCTTCTCTTTTCTTTTTTATTAGTGATACATCTTGTGGGCTGATTACTTTCTTTAATTTTTTCTTCCTTTTGTTCGTGACAACGCATGTAAACCATAGAATACTGTGCGTCTTCCCATTCCACACTAAGCGTCCACCCCCAAAATTTGAAACACCTGAAAAGATATGTACAGTACATATATATATATATATATATATGTAAAATTGATCACCTCACAGGTGCCCATCCCCTATCTTTTCGTGATTTTCTTCAAATTTTGAGTGGGCGCTTGCTCGGTATTTTACGGTGTATTGTGATTTTGCGATCGATAAACTCAGCTGTAAGTCAGCGGTGCATCCATGTCACTTCTTCGTCTGGTCCCTTGTCTTATGCACTGTTTTAATTTCCCGAAGTATGTCGTACCAACTAACCCAAGCCTCAACTTTAGCTCCGCTAAAAAAAAAAGTAAACCAAAACTTTTTTTTTTTCTTGATCAGACTTCTGACTCCAAAGACATGAAAGCTTTCATCTCTTGCAGTACCATGTAGTTAGTCAGCAGGAAAAGTTTGCGGGACATCGGAGTGGCAGCCGAAATGCATCGCTGTGCCTTCTGACAATGCACCAACTGCTATCAAGACCCATGGTCTGCACGTGCTCATCCCTCTGTGCTCGGCAGTCATGCATGTTTGCTCACTTCCGTCCGATGCACTCTTGATACTGGAGACGGGCAAAAGGGGGGGGTGCTACTGTTTTTGATCTCCCAAACAGCAGCAGAACCCACCTGCAGCAGTCATAAAAAGAACAAAATAATCAACCTTCTTTTCTTGATGTGAACTCTATACTACATCTCACAAGTTGTGTGCAGCAGAGGCAAAGGCACGAGCGCATTGCTTTCAGACATGCCCTTCTTGCACCCATGGCTTTGTTGCACACAGCTTGTGAGATGGAGTATAGGTAAAATTTTCTGTGAAGGCAAAGCCTTACCTAACATGGCAAGTTAGATAATTTATGTTTTATTGCATATTGCTGACCACTCGACAGCTTAGGTTACAATGAAAAGATAAGCTAGTCATTGCTGTCAAATATTGAAAATTGGTTTGCACTCTTCACAAATACCAGGCCATGGTAATATAAAAGAAAAAAAATTGTTCAGCTACAGTCGAGCAGGCCATGGTAATATAAAAGAAAAAAAAATTGTTCAGCTACAGTTGAGCTTGGAGCAAAACTTTATCGGGACAGTGATTGACTCGGCAAAAGGTGGCATGCAGGCATTGTCTCCCATTGCGGTGGCTGAGGCAGATGCTCAGCATAGCTGCTGACAAAGCAGCTCCTCGCGCCTTTTTCGGTATATCGGGAGCTTGTCGAATGGAAGCGAGTGAACATATATAACTTTGAGAACTAAAGAATGTGCTTGTGCATGCAATGGGTCTGAATAGCTGGCCTGCGTCGTCAGATGGCGCAGCGATGTATTTCAGCTGTCTCTTCCATGTTCCGCAAACTTTTACTGCCGACTGTATATGCTTATACCCCGTTTCACTAGTTGCGTGCATCACAGGCGAGGGTAACGCCGGGCGAGGGGAGAAAGAGAAAGCGCTAGGAAGCCTGAAGAGGAGTATGATGTAAAAATTAAATAGCGCAAAGGTTAGACAAAGGACAAAGGACAGAACATGTAGACAGGACAAGCGCTAACTCACAACTGGTGTTTTAATAGAAAAGAAGGAAGCAGCATAGAAATACGCCGAAAAAGGAAGACAGAAGATTTATAATTTTTCGGCGTATTTCTATGCTGCTTCCTTCTCTTATTTTCTATTAAAACGCCAGTTGTGAGTTAGCGCTTGTCCTGTCTACATGTTCTGTCCTTTGTCCTTTGTCTAACCTTTGCGCTATTTAATTTTTACATCATGCATATCCAACTAGCCCACCTCAATATCTTAGTACAATTCCTGAAGAGGAGACGGAACCCCTTCTTTTCTCCAACGTTCTGAGCGCTCTCCCATTCTCCTCTCGCCCTCCGTTACATTCCTCTTCCATCCTGCCTTCTTAGCGCTCCCCTCTCCTGGCGTTGCCTTCGCCTGCGGCGCACAAAAGTGAGACGGAGTATAGAGTAACCACAGAATAGTATACTTCGTTTTACCCTTACGTCTGAGCGCACACGAGGCTACAGTCACTCAAACTCAAGTGCACAGAAAACGCACTAAGGTCGAACACGTTCGCTGTGCTCGATTTGCTAAGCCGATTATAACATGCCCAGAAGGACGACAGATGCTGTGATGTTCCGTGTTTGGCCGTGCTTGATTGGCCTCATCGGGAGAGCATGCCACATGGCGATGAGTTAACAGGTGCACCCATGACGACTCTCAGTGCACTCTGATGCATGCACAGATAGAGCACTGTAGAAATGTTTCCTTTACTACACTCAGAGGCATATAAATTGTAAACACAAGGCTGTTAGTTTCAGGCTTCAGTGTAAAAAAAAAGAAAAAGAAACATGTCACCAGTGCAGTATGACCCCAGGCTAGCAGTTGTACTGCAAGTTTTTCATCTACAGCGGAAGCATGGCACCCAGTCAAGACAGACCGATAACCCACTCTCTGAACCCCCTCAACTCGCTTATTGTTTCTCCCATAGCCTGACAAGTGAACTTCCAGACGATAGCTATCAAGGGACTCGCAGAGTGCTTCATGCTCAAGACATGGCTGTAGCATCATTGTTTATTTTAGAAAAGTACTACACTATGTCTGCACAAAATGTTAGGCATTGCACCAATTTATTATAGTTAATGTGGAAAAGTTGTTTTTCGCTAAACATGTTAACCGACAGAAAAGTGAGTGCTGTAAAAATGAACAAACGAAGGATCAAATCTTTTTTCATAAGGTGTTTCAAACATATTTTTGTCCTGTCTTTCCTTATTCCCTCTCAGTTTGAATTTAATACAGTAGTCTAATCTTCTGTCCTGTTGCATGTTTAGTCCAGTGTATATTTCTTTTGTATTTCTAGAAACAAAGACTCAGCTCATGAAGCAAATGGTGAAAGAAAGGGTGCCACTTCCAGCTGTCATTCTGCATGATGCCGTGGAAAGTCGGGAAACACTGAATGTGGTATGTATGTGCATGGTTTCAGCCTTGATCGGTTCCAAAAAAGGAAGCCAATGAGGTCTCGAAGCATCTTGAGTTGGGTGTGTGCATATATTTTATTTATGTTACTAAAGCTGGATGCCTGCTATAGTTTGCCTTGGCCTCACTTCAGACGGGCAACTTTCCCTGCAATTTTGGTTTTGCTGACGTGTTTCCTTAGATCCTCGTGCAACAGCACAAATGTCTGGGGTTGGGTCTGGCTGAAAACAAGCGAGTATCTACGATATGTTTCAAGATGGATAAGTGCTTGATTTCTGTCCCATCCTTTTGCATGAACAACTGCCTAATTAAAAGTGATGGGACAAAAACAAATGGTCCTTGTCCTATCCTTTTGAATCAGGTCATTGACGACGACGCCAGAGTTTTTTTGTAGCTCTTGCTTGCTTTTATAATAGCTTAATTTATGAAAGAATTTTATTGTTGTAATTTTTTGTTATATCTATGTCCTCCAAATCTGCGCAGGATGTGGCGGGACCGAGTGGTCTTCAAAAAAATTTGAGAAAAACATCATCGAAACAGAAAGACCGCAGCTCTGAGACACAAGGTATGTAAATATAAATTCATACCTGTAAGTGTCAGAGAAATAGGTCAATGACCATGGCCAAATTTACTGTACTAGTATGACACCCGAAAACCACAATCGGAGATTCTCTCCTACCAGGAGTTGTAGAACACAGGCTCCTATGCTACTTGTAATCTTGAAAAAAAAAAAAAAAAAGTTTTTTTTTTTGGTATTTTTTTTTTTTGATAATCCAGTATTTATTCTGCCTCATTTGATGCTTCAGTTTTCTGTCTCTAACCACAATTTCACTTTTTGGGTTTGCTGGAGCTTGTGCTCTGTCTCCACTGATTTTCTTTCTGTCTGTAAAAGAAGTTTCTCTGCATTGCATATCTGCAAAACAAATGGAATGAATGTATGGACCCATAAGAGTCTTCCTAATGAATTACTCTGAATTGATTGATGCCGCACGGAGTGTCTGAAATTTTCCACCTGCAGCAGAGATGCTGTGTAGCCCATGCACTTGTCAACTTGTTCACCTCAAATTGCAAAGGCAAAAATATGGTTGTGCAACCTTTCAAATCTTTTCTGCACTTGATACTTTAGCACCATGTTGTGGATAAAAGAAAATAAAACTTAAAAACATAAATAAAAAAATCTTGCTTGCTGTCTTATGCTTTTAAAACACTAGGCACTCGAGAAAATGAGCCTTTGGTGTCAGGTGTGAGCCATTTTTATTGAACTGTTTTGTTCACACTCATGGAATAGCCTACCAAAAGGGGGCGGAAGAACGCCAGTGGTCTCAGCGCGTTGTGGTATTCTTCCGTAGTTGTGTTTGGTCGCCAAGGCAACCAAGCGTTAGGTGGGTAGATGAATGCCTGAGCATGTTACTTGGTTCCCATAGCGGCAACAATCAATCCAGGCTGCGAAAGGGAACCGCGATGAGCTGAGGTCACAGGTGTGCTTCAGTTGCAATTCGGTTGGCTTTTGTATGGGTGGTACGTGAACAAACAAACCTCTATTTCTACATGTTATTATTATCAATAATGATGAGTCTTGAAAATGCACCATCATATAAATAACAACAAACTCTAGATTCAAAATTGACAAATTGAAGGCCGCTTCTTTCTTTTAAGACAGGCAGCTTTAGAGTCCATCACCGGAATCTGGGCTTGATCAACACCCCATGGACCTAAATGCAGTCTACTTTGATAGGGCATAAGCATCCTTTATATTAAATGTTGTCCAACTGTCTAATTTAATCCAAACACCTTGATCCCACATATAATGTTAGATGAAACAGAATGTGCAGTGTGTCTATGGAGATTTGCTAGGCTTGCAGTCAATTTTATGAGCTTTTAATCACTTGAGTGACACTGTACATAATATGTCATCAGGCTTTACCCGTAGGATCAAGGTACAGTTAACGTTTTCGGCTCAGGCGATTAAGGCCAGTTTTCTTGTGATGCGCAGTGCTACACAGCTGTGGATTGATATTAGAAGCCAGGAAATTTGCACTCTGTTTAGGCACTCCGACCCACTCAAGGAGCAACTTAAGATGCAGGATATGAGACAGGGAAGGGCCGGTGACTCACAATCTTACGAGCACTGAGGCAGCGCAGCACTGTGTGTGTGAAAAGCCCATGGCATGCCCACCCTCACGGTGTGCATGTCATGAGCTTTATAAAGCCGCATGCCCTAGAGCTGCGTGGGCAGATCGACAGCAGAAAGGACACCAGCAGGGCGGGTAAATAGCGGTACAAATTGGCAATGCCGGTAAATTCCCATTCAATTGCTATGCGAAACAAGTAGCTGTGTAACATACGTATTGCAACGTATATGGCAACCATGTAACTTAACATTGTGTAACGTAAGGTGACGTAGGATCATATGTGATCAAGTATCTGCGTAAGGTAATGTGATCACATTACATGTCCACGGGAAATGATCAAGTGACCATACATGATCATGGGACTTTTTTTACCTGCCCACTGCCCGCTATAAGCTATGTATGCTTTCGTTGCCTTGGCCTTTGTATAAGGCAAATGGGCAAATGTGATGGTCGAACGTAACATTTTTTTCATGCAAACACGGGTATATTCAAATTATGTGTTAAGGGTTTTAATGTGAAAGAAGCTGCGATGGCTTTTAATTTAATAAAAAACCATTTATTCTCCTTAATTATTCTTCGAAGGTGACGAATATTGTTACTCTTTGAGGATCACAAATTTCATTATTTAAAGTACAGATTAGCCAAAAAGACGCGTTAAAAACAGACTCTAAACCACTACCCTTCACAGGCCGGTGAACGGGAAAATGGGGGAAGAGAGTGCGGAGTGACGTCACGAAAGGGGCGCCAGGGCGCTTTGCCTCACCGAACTGCATTGTTAAGGACTTGAACGAGTATGGGATCATGTCGAGGGTCCTCGCAACACATTCTAATTGAGGGTTCATTGTGTCTTCATCCTTTATACCCAAGAGAATGCAAGCCAAATCAGCCAGATCTCTTCACGAACAGCAGCCGAATTATGACGTCATCAACACGTTTCATGTCAGCATCGGTTCGGTGTTTTTGCCTTTTGCCGTGTTTAGTGAGGATTATGGGATAAACGGTTGTGATGTTTGGACTCTCCAGGAAAACCTAAACGGGAATTTGTCCTTCACTTATTTCTTTCCTAAAGCTTTGCAGCTTCTCTTAAAGGACAACTCCGTTCAATTAAAAAAAGTTCGGGATTATGTATGATTCGACTTTAAAAAGCACTAATAAACAGCCCCACATACTTTGTTTATCGAAACATGACATATTTGTGTTACCAATCTTTCTTTAAACTTAGCGGATACCAAAACCGGAACTTTGGCTGCAACAGGCAACATTGGTCTTGTGTTGTCAAAGTGTAGCTACTATACTTCGTTTCAACTTCCGTCCGAGCGCAGCCAAAGCTACGTGTGGCCGGAGCCAATCACACGCCGGCAATAGGTCACGCGATCTCGCCTGCACTTTTGTATCCCTCCACTGGGCCGCGGGTCGTCCGCGCCGCCCGCGCTCGCCGGGTATTTCGTCTGCTACGGGTGTATCAACTGTATCGTCTGCTACAGGTTTATAAAGTGCCCTTTCACATTCTGGAATTTAGTCACAGGGGATGTCAGTACGTAAGCTGGCCGCTGGCGCCTCTGTTCGAGCTTTCCACCTGTTCGGCGTTTCGGCATAGTTTCGAGATGTAAGTACACATTGCAAGGTGACCGATGACCCGGCCGTTGATGTTTCCTTTTATTGTCTGCATATATACCAGAGCTCGAGGCGCAGTCCTTTCCATCAGCTTCTCGGCGTTCAATGTGATCGGCAGGTAAAGGGGTGCCCTGATTTCGCCGCGTATCAGTGAATTGTAGTGGCCAGGACGCTTTTCTTGCTTACAACGCATTCGCGGTACGACGCGGCCGGAGTCTCCTGCCGAATTTGAACGCAGATATTCATTACGACCTCTCGCGCCTGACTCCCAAACTTGCCTTTTCGAAAAAAATGTTTTGAAGCGACTCGGTGAGGAAAGCAGCAAAGCATATGATTCGGCCATTATGGGAATGAAATCACACAGAAAAAACGAGCGCTGCAGCCGTGTTGCCAGCGAATGTACGTGTTTTCACCAAACCACAATCATTTACATAAATTAATAAAAACATAAACTTCAGATATTTAATTATTTTAGTTGCAAATCATTCTCAGCACTACACATCTGGAATATTGTGCAATTTTGTACGCACAAAACAGTGATTTAAAACAAATTAGTTTTGCGGACTACTTTGTGGTGCGTAGGAATGCTCTTCTCGAAGATGCAAACCGTCCCTTAGCCTTTGGCTGCGCTCGGACGGAACCTGAAACGAAGTATAGCCAGGCTAGATCCAGCGCTGCTGAGATCCCCCGATACAAAGGGGTTAGCCCCAAATCCAATCCAATCCAAGCCATGGCAAACCTTTCGGTATGAATGATCACATGATTCTCCACTAGATCATTTAAAACTGCGCTCTCCCGTCTTTAGCGCCGATCAAGGCTATGCATGCCCACTCTTCTATTTTGCAGCTCATCACGGCATCTGTTGACTTCACCTAGAGAAGGAAAAAGCACAAAAAGGGCATGTCTTTGACAAAGTGGCTCAATGTTGGCTGTGCAAACACTACAGTATTAAAAACTGCGCTGTTGAATGCGCTTCACGTTTCCTGCTAGAGTTAGTCGATTTCAGTGACTTGGCTCTTTGCAAAGTTTTCCGCCCCACGTAAAGATATATAAATGGAATTAGATTGTGATATTTGATGTGTCGTCTTCCTAGATGATACGGAAGAGGACTGCATCGTTTTCTGATTATCAAATGAAGTGGAGTTGCCCTTTAAAGAAATATGTCAAGCCGAGGGTTTTTTTCCCTGGCACCTAATGTTTTAGCAAGCCTTATACGAATATGAAGTGTTCTTTTCGATTCTGAGTCTGGTGTTTTTACCCACAACAGGGAACTAAGTTGTGCCATCTTTTCATCTTGTAGAGTGTAGTTTGCTCAGCTTTATGCTGTGATTTTCTAAAGAAATGCAACAGACATATGAGGAATATTTACATGATGTCACCATTCTGTGCGGTCCTATAGCCTTGTGGTTGACGGCATCTCGGTGTGCACATGGAAGTGCCAGATTGCATTTCTCCTTGTCATTCTCTCTCTTTCTTCTATGGTCAGTTCTTGTGTTTTTGATGTTGTGTTTATATACTACCGATAGTCATTGGGCTTTTTGCCGTAACGGGTTAAACACATTTGCACACAATATCAGTGTACTGAACTTGAAGATCAATGATGTGCGAAAGATTGCAATTAAGGATGACCTCATGCGCAGGGCAAGTAAGGTTATGTGCTGGCCGTACAGACCAGTAGCTGTTTTCATTTGAGATGTAAGCTGTGAACAACAAATGTCAACGGTCAATCACGTTCGCATGGCTATTGGAGGGAAACATTTCGCTCTGCTGAGCGAAATAAATAATACTGCATACTGGACATATCCAACTATTATTTTTATCCTACAATAAGTGTTCATCTGCTTGTGTATCTTTCCCATGACGGGCAGTAGCGATTATGCAAACAGTGGAATTGAAGCCCGAAATGTTACGCTCAGATTTTATGATGTGCTAACAACAGTTTCGAAAAAGTGTGCACTGCGAAATTTAGGCATCATACTATAGCTTCAATTGCTTATCCTGGACATATTAAAGTAAAACAAATAAACTTATGATAGAAGACAGTAGCCAACATGTTTTGGAGTAATTTGATTATTGTTCAAATCATTTTCTATGATTCCAAGTTTGTCAAGCTCTTGAACTTTACATGTTTCATAATTTGTAAATTTTGAAACTACTTTCTTGGATCTTTGAACCTCAAATTAGAAAAAAAAATTAGCTCAATTCAACTCGCAGAACACAAAACTAAGTGGCAGGTTTTTTTTTATCAAATGCTTTCAAATATGGGTAAGTCGAAGGCTTGTGTGCATATGTACTAAGCATTTCTGAAAAAGGTGGGGTGCTTATGAATACATTTGGCAGTTAAATGCAGTGAGGTCCACAATGTTTCTCAAGCCTTAAAGTTTTCATGCTTTCAAACTTGTAACTTTTTGTTTACACAGAGGACCTCGTTCCGGCTGCAGACCTCAGAGACGCTAAAAAGAAAATTAGGGCCCTGACGAAGGAGTTGGAAGAAGAGAGGGCTCTGTGCCGACAAGTGCAGTATGCACTTTTACATAGACTTGGTAAGTGCAAGTTTTCTAATGTGAAATTATTTTTCAAGATCATATTTGAAAGGTTTTCAAGGCTCGGACAAACCCCCAATATTGGTGGTCTAATGTAGCCCTCTTTGTCATCACAGACGCACATGAAACAGGTCTAGCAGGTCTCAGCTGACCAGTTCAGAGATTCTCATCTACACTGTGTCGCAGGATTCAAACAAAGTGCATTTTCCAGGGGCATCACATGTGCAGCATGACTCTCTGATTGAAAACGATACACCCTCTCACAGATGTTGTGACACATGCGAAAATAGTTGTTTTCATGACTTCATTTGTTTCTGCTATAAGTCATAGTAGGGTGCATTGCAGTACAGATGCCTGACCTGGTGTGATTGGCCTCAGGTCCATGTATTTAAAGGGATACTGATCCAAGGAATTTAGTGTCCATAATAAGTGGCGCACATTCTTTCCACGAGCCAGTAGCCGCCGGTGTGCGTGAGTACACGCAAGAAAAATTACGTCAGAGACCTCCATTTGCGGTTAAGATGACAGTGAAATGTATGGGCTTGGGGCCGAAGGAGAATAAAGACAAGTTTTTCATCTACACAGTGGTGTCTGGTGTAAAAGGTAAGCGATTAATTGGTCTAACAAGCACGTAGCTTTCACTTATAGAGATGAAAAGCCTGTCTTTGTTCTCTTTTGGCCCGAAACCCATGCATTTCACTGTCCTCTTAAGCACGAATGGAGCTTTTTTACATCATTTTTGTTGCGTTTGCTCGCGCACACCGGCGGCTGCTGGCTCGTGGAAAGAATGTGCGCCACTTATTATAGATACTAAATTTGTTGGTTCGGTATCCCTTTAAGTGCAAAGAAATGTAAAGTGTGGAACATCTTCCCTCAGCTGGAAATAGCAGCTGTTTTCATCCTGGCTGTGAAGCCTAGAAACAGTTACCTCCCCTACCTGCTGTCAGAGAGGATATAGTCATTTATGAGGAGCCTATTTAGCTATTAAGAAGGGTACCTTTTTCGGCCACAATGTGCGAAGAAGTAAAAGCGGTAGGTTGTAGGGCGATTTCAGATAAGATCAAGCAGAGGGTGGCTGGTCGACCTTTTTAATTTGCTTCATAATTTTATATGGTATTTCCCAATGCCAAAAGTAAACAAATCAAAATTATTTTCATCTAAAAAAGATTATTGGGCGTAAAAAATCATAGTCACGAAATGGTGGCAAGTCACATTTATGTGCGCACCTGGGGTGGTCACTTTTGGGGATAAATAACGGAAGTTATACTCCCTGAGTGAGTTTCATAATTTTTGGACGCAACAATAAAAACAATTTTGTTCTTGGAAAAAAAAATTATAATCAAAACATCAATTTTGACTTTTCGATTGTTTTTCTCTTAACTTCGCAGGCCTATATCTTAGAACAAAATTAAGTCACAGACATATTTTGACACAATATTCTAGTCATAAGTGGAAGTAACTTAACACAAAAATAAAATTTATTTATGAAAAGATTGTTGAGATATTGACAAGCAAACACGAGAAAAGCACCAAACAAAAACCTTCCCTAGACAATTAAAAAAAAATGCTCGATTTTCTTTTTTTTTTTAATTTTGGCCAGTCATTCTATATAGGAGAAACCAAACATTTTTATGTTTGTTTGTTCAGCTGGTTTCTCCTAATTATGTTTTACCAACGTGCTCAACTCTTTCCCGTGGCCAGTTTCTACTTTATTTGGAGGTTAATATCTATTAAAAACATGTTGCATCATTAGGATGGTGTAATAGAGACAGCTCCTCTACCGAGAACCTCTCCGAGGCTCGGCATGAGCTGTCCCTATAGTGCAACACAGCAATTGTGACACGTTTTTTTTTTTTTAAGTTAACTTTTTATATTTCTATTTGAGTAAGGAAAGTAATAGTTTCTCGTGTCAGCCTCAGATTTTGAGGGTTTTGTTGAGGCATATTTTCGGTTGTATGAGCCATTAAAAAATATTAAATTTTTGGGATGCCAGTGTTTCTCTAAGGGTGTTCATGCCCATCTTGCAGCATGTGCAGTGGCGGCCGGGGGCGGCTGCGTAGTGCATTGCTTTCACTCGTTCGGGTGTTCAGATCTGTGGTCTCCGGCACAGCACTATGTGACTTATTATTTAAAGAGGACATTTTTTGCAAGTTCACAAATTTCTTATGAAGGTGCTTGTTTTGTGTTTTGGTATTTCAGGTGTGGTGCTCCCAGCATCCCCTGTAGAGAGCAATGACATCAAGGCATTTCCAGAGCAGTCTCACTCCCGAAGACCACGGCAGCTCAGAGCAGAGCAGCCCGCCAACATCAGACGAACCAGCCCTGCCCCTTCCCCAGCCCCTACCCAGGCTCCTGCTGTGGTACCTGCCTTCTCCCCGGCCCCTGCCTCGGCCTCTGCCTCGACCTCTGCCCCGGCCTCTGCCCCGGCCTCTGCCCCGGCCTCTGCCCCGGCCTCTGCCCTGGCCTCTGCCCCGGCCTCTGCCCCGGCCTCTGCCTCAGCCCCAGCCACTGCCCCGGCCTCTGCCCCCGCCTATGCCCCGGTCTACGCCCCTTTGCCCGCTCCGGACCCTGTCCCAGTCCCTGTCCCAGTCCCTGTCCCAGTCCCTGTCCCAGTCCCTGCCCCAGTCCCTGTCATGATTCATGCCCAACCCCCTGTCATGATTCATGCCCAACCTCCTGCCCAAGCCAACCTGGACGAGCCTGGAGCTGCAGTGAACGATGCCGTCCTTGATATGGTAGGTTCTCAGTGTCCCAGCACTTTTCAACTGTAGATCGCTTTTAATGCTGCTGCCATAAAATAAGCAATAGCTTTATTATAAATGCATCTACTATGAAAACTATTACAAGTCGCTGTAAATTTTCAACACGTCTGATGTATTAGTTTTGCCAATGAATGAGGCCCTTTTCAGTGCGCAAAATTCTCTGTCCTCAAAGCTTTAAATAACTACTGCTACCAGCTTCTCATTCACAACTTGTGCCATTAGGCTATTTGTATGTGCGTTCGAATTTAAAACATGCAAGAAGCAGGTGATGTCAATCACAAGAATACCGAGGTGTTAATAGCCGGGACACAGTGGCATCCTTTGCTCGCTTCTTAAGCATATAAAAAGAAAGAGTACACGTCACCATTTTTGTGGCAGTTTTACTGTTAGTGCCCAGTGCAGCTTGCACACAGTTGATCTATGTGGCAAATGGGGCTGCAAAACCTGCATTTAAATCTAACAAATCTTACAAATGTATGTTTGTTCATTGGAAAATGCTTGCACTTCATTGGCGTGCCTCTCGACGCGCTTGTGGTGTCTGTGCATGGGAACCAAGATTTTTTTTTTCCCGAAGACCGCATAGGAGATATTTTGTATGTAATATTTAATACATTTTTTTACCATAATATCCAGACTCTGCACCCATCCCCGAGTCATCACCCACCCCACTTTTATGATAAAATATTGATTTCCTGAAAAACACCAAGTCATCACCTACCCCAACAAAAGCTCTGATTGGGTGGATCGCGAGATAAGCAAACACTCATCATTCCTGTCTGAATTTCGCAACTGTGGAAATGAAAGTCAAAAGGCAGTAATCACAATGAGAAACATGATAGGTAGCAGAGTGAAGCTTTCTTTGTTCAAAACTACGAGCCAGTCCGTTAACTCTGATTGAAAATTGCAAGGTCAAGGACCACAAACTCTACCAGAGATCACTTGTGGGGAAAAAAAAAGGCATAATAGAAGAAAAAACATTTATTTTGTTTACGAATGAAATGAAGTCCATCTCTTCCCGGAAGGCCCCAACTTCAAATCGCGAGATCAGCCCAGCACCCATTCTTCCAGAATATCACGACCATTAAGGTTAGTAAACATCTGTCAAAGACGAAGCAAAACAAAAATGGAGAGTATAACAAATGGGTGGCACTACTCTTTTTAGCACTGCGGCACATTCCTGCGAACCAGAGCTTTGAATTCTGTGTAGCTCCCATCGAAATATGATGTGCAAAAAAAAAATATTTTCTCACTTTTTTTTTTTCGCATTTAGATATTTTGTTATTGTCCACTTGTTATTTTGGGAAATCCTGGGGCTGAGTGCTGAGTCTGGGTATTACAGTATATATAATAACATTTGTTACTAAATTATTTTTATTGCACAGGTTCACCTGGGTGGAGGAGTCTTGGTCCCTCAAGACAAGCTTAAAAAATTAATTGAGGCCGAAAAAATGACTGATTCAAGGTTTTGTAGGGATGCCCTTCGGATGATGTATCGGAAGGGAGAACTAGTGAATCGGAGTGTGACCGGCTCGAGAAGTCGAAGGTTCTTCACCGAGGACAGGGAAACCACCCGAGCCATCACACCAAAGAAGATGCGTGCTGTGAAAAGTGAGTGCAATTACTGATGTCAAGAGTTTAACCTAATTTATAACAGTATTTTCTGAAGCTGAATGTAACTGGTATATTTTTGCACTAGAATTCCAATGAGTAATTGAATGAACCCATGCTGGGTAGGACTTGTAAATACAAAAATTAGAAAGCAAAACACAGAGCTGCTGTACTTGCAGCTTTTTGTCTTATCATATTGTTTATACTTTCAAAGTTAGAGTTAATATGCCCTGATATTCAGAAGTTTGCTTGTAAACATATTGAAAGTCGGAGCTCATGTGGTGCTTGCACCTCACGGTTATATTAATTTTGCAAGCCCATCCAGAAAGCTGAGAGACTATTTCTGTTTTTTTCATAATTATGGCATGATGGCATCAGTTGCATATCATGGAACTACTCTACTGTTAAGCTGAGACTGCATTCGAAGTTGAAGGATATTGGCAAAACCTGCTGCAGCCTTGTAAAGTAGTTAGACTTCCATATCTCATGATGAGACAACAAAAGTTCCTTTTTTCTTGCCCATACAAAGACGCACATGTGAAGAGTACTGTCATGTGTTGTAGAGTGGACAGTCGATTGTTCAGCATTGGTTAGGTATGTACTGGTTGGTCTGCTGATAGCGGACTGCTCCAGAGAAAGAAAATGTGTGATTGCAGCTGCCTCAACTAGCTGTCCCTTGTTGGGTGTCAGTTTCTGCTGCCGAGATTGGGGAGAAAAGAGACGTCAATAGAGTCGCAGGTGTACTAGAATGTGGTGTTAGAAATTTGGGTTGCCTAGTTCT